ATTATCATCACACAAGCAGCTGAACTGGGTCGTACTTACTAAGGAAGTGCTAAAGCCCTGCTGGGAGAAAAAACCCCTGTCCTTGACTTGGGCCTATAAAGTGCTCGTGATTTCAGTCTAATAATCTGGGGCACAACGGTGATAATGCAAATACAGCACATCTGACGTGTTCTGACGTGCTTTGGGAGGTCAGCTTTGGAGCTGTAACAAACCTGTGGAGAAGCATAGCTGTTGGAAGATGTTAAGGGCAGACTGTCATCAGACCTAGCTTAAAATGGTGGGTGAGTGAGTAAGAGGTGCAATTATCGGGCTAGGCAGGCCCCTTCTCTAAATGCCATCCCTCAGGAGGAACAAAATCTTCTATTTACCTTTAAGTAACTTTAATTCTTGCTAGGCTTATCAGGGAAGGAAGTTGTCTTAAAACACTGCTACAGGAAAATCTCCCTTCTGAAGTGATGTGCCTACGCTGAAGTAGTATTTCTCCCACTGAAACAAACTATTTTCACAGCTTGATCAGTTTATCAGCAGAAGTTAAATGTTGGCTGCTCTTGCCATGAGTAGGAGGAGCATTAAAACAGGAAGAATTACTCTTTGTTGGAGTCACTAAATCCTCCTTAAATTATTTACTTATCAAATTACTTTTAATCCATTAATCTCCAAGAGGTCACAGGAGCAGGAAGAGAGGATGTTTACTGAACACTAAACATGGTACATTCAATTGAACATAAAACAGTGCATAGCAAGTCAAAATAGCTGCCAGGTGGATAAAAAAACCCCTTACATTTCTGCAGTTGAAATTACTGAATTTAACTCCTGCGGGCAAACAGCTATCAACACCTTTACAAAACGGCAGTGCATGAACTCTCAAGAATGAAGAGCATGCATACACACACACATCTATAAATCCAGAGAGCCAGCAGTGTCTGGGAGTCCTGTTCACGAGAGAGACTCCATCATGACAACAAAGCACGGTTACAGTCCAATATACTTGTCCATCCGACCAGTTTAATACTACTTTGCATTTTAGAAGGCAAACAATATCAAGGCACCTTAATTTAAATACGAAGGAGAAGGACTTTCACAGCAGTGTGCAAAATGCTCTGTGCACTTGTGCAATCACGGGCTCTTGCTTGTGCACCAAAGGGCTGTTTCCTTCATGCCTGATACACAGAGCTAGAGACTAAGCTGAATTCCTCATCCACTTCAAGTCCTGTAAGCCCCTCTCAACAAATTCAAACTCACCCAAGAACTTAAAAATTAGAAGTCACTGAAAGAAAAGACTGTGTATTTTCCATGGGCAGTCAGCTAGATTTGAATGTCAGATTTACAGCCTCTTCAAAGAAAAGCTGTTACTTTTACGGCTCTTCGAGAAAACAGCTGAACTCAATAGCTACACCGGGGGTGTTCCAATTATGTGCTTTACTTCTGCTGCATTACAGCAATTTTAAGAACAAAATTGCAGCCCGTGAGATAGAATTAGATAAAGTCACCTGCTGTGAAAGGCTTGGTGTTGGGGTGGTTGTATATAAAAAGTGAGATGACAAGCATACTTGCAGGGCATTTTCAAACAGAGAAGAGCTGGAATTACTCTGCAACCTCTCCCAGCAAGCAGGTAATGTGCTTGAACGACATACCATACTCCCTTTTTACTTATTCAGTGCTCACAGATGCTTGTATTAGAAGAAACTCGCATTAGAAGAGACTGCGAAGAGCACTTTTGAAGCAGGAGGGACATTAGAACAGAAACTGGCTAAACTGAATGTATCTGTCAAATATCAACAGGGAGTTTCATGGAACCTTTGAGGTCCAGACATTCCTAAAACTCTGAAAAGATGATCAAAACCCCCTAATTTAGATCTTCATCCAAATTTTTCAGATGTTAAATCTCTTTATAATGAGCTAATCCACACTTTGAGAGGCTCAAAATCCAGCTGTAGCTCACACACAGGCACAATGCCACTGGGGTGCAGAAGACCAGAACTGGAGATCCAGAAATGTAACATTTTCATAATTCTGCAAGACAAAAATGGAGCTGTAATGTCATCATGATCAGAAAGATGTTTTGTTCTCTCATAGGATGGAGAAGTCCAGGAAGATCTTTGTCACTGTCCTCCTGGTTCTCATGTCTGTGGAAATCTGTTTGGCTCAACATTGGTCTTACGGCCTGCAACCAGGAGGAAAAAGGAACGCTGAAAACCTGGCAGAATCATTTCAGGAGGTAGGTTCTAGACTGTAAAACAGCCCTGCTGTTTTAGCTAGGATCCCTTCTCTGTAGAAGACGCAAGCAAAAATAGGTGACGTAGGTTTTACTCTCTCTGTGTGTCTCTGTCTCCTTCCCCCCAAACATACACACACACATTTTTTTCGAAGTAGCAACTGGAAAGTAATTGCCATTGTGGTAAGATGACATTTGCCAGCCTTGTGTAAAGAACAGCGCTGTCTGCTGCAGACAGAGAGCCTGGGCAGCCTGCTCGAGAGGCGAGATGGAAGTCTGAGTTCCAGGCTAAACCTGATTTATTCCTCTCCCTAAACTTCAGCCAATGCTCTGACGGGCTGTTTTATGACAAATATTCATCCACTTCACTGAGAACATGGCATTGGGCACCTGTCATGTGGCAACCAATTAGATGGTAAGCAATTAAATGACAAAGCAGATGTCGAAGGTACTTTCCACCAGTGGTTTTCCCACCCTTTCGAATGCCTCATGGGTAGTCCTCCCTCGTAAGAGCAGTTCCAGCACCCTGATTTTACATTTGCTGCAGCACAAGCACAGCACCTGGGACAGGTGAATTAAAGCTGTGCAGTGGAACAGTTTCATCTTTGTCTTAACTAGGGTAGAGTTGCTTTAGCAGAAAAAGACTCCTCTCATAACGGCTGTATCGCTTCCCAATTCAGATTGCAAATGAGATGGGAAAACTAGGGGAAGTGCAGAAGACTGAATGCCCGGGCTCGTACCAGCATTCCAGGTTCAGTGATCTGAAGGAAGCCATGGTAAGTCACATGTTTCCTCCTCTATCATGGTGGGAAAATTAGGGGAATGGTCCAGGCTGGGAAAGTACATGGAAGGAAGAGAAAAACAGCGGTGGAGGAGGAGGAGGAGGAAGGGGCATGTAAGTTCAGTTCACATGCGGCAATACTGGCTCTGCCCTTATCTGCATCATTCTCAAGTACCTCACAGTTACAGGCCTAGGACAGCCGTACATTATTCTTATGCTCCTGTTGTAGCAATGTCATTACTCACTAAATCAAAACCAAAATAAAGTCAAACACATTCTACCTTAATACAAATCTATGCAGCATTCACAGATGCTCAACTTCAAAGGCGCACTTTGCCAGCTGAAGCATCAAGCCATATGGAAGCTGCTGCTCCCAAGGTCCCCAGACTGGGAAATGTATTTTCCATTAGATGCTCTAATGCAATGACAGCAGAGGCTTCACACACAAACTAACTGCCATAGAAAGAATACTCTCAAGCAAAAATGTGCTTTTTAATTAACATAGCAACACCTTGATCAGGCCAGATGGTCACCACTTTCTGGGAAGTGTCTCTGAGCTGTCCTAAAAGCTGAAACACTCAATCTGTACTTCAGTTTTGAAGCCAAGACCAAAAGTTTCAAGTACGCTTCCGATAGCACTACTGGCAGAACGAAGACCCAGCAATAGTAACTTAATATTTTTAAACAATTTTTTTTTACTGCAAGAGACTATATTAGGCAGGAAAAGATACCAGAATAATTATCAGGATATTTGAAAGGGGTCCCTGATACTTCTTGCTCACTAAGGGAAACTTGGCCTTTCTTTGCAGAGCTAAAGGCACCCACTGCCACAATCAGATTCTTAGGTTTGCTCAGAAACTGCTGGTAATCTTGCACGTAAATGTAAGAACTTCTAAGCCTCTGCATCAACCACTCAGTTTGCATGCCTTTCCCTGTAGCAGTCTGAACTATGTGGCCTTCTTATTTCTAGCTGCTTAATGACACTGAAAACAAATTAAACTTTTTCCAGATGCAGCTTTTCCAATGTAACACATTCCTGGAGTTGCTACAGGAATATTATGCAATGAAAGGGGAGGTGTCTGGAAATGGTCCACCCCATGGAAAAACTTTTCAAATTATCTTCATAATTTCCTGGAGAAGCTGGTAGCGAGCACAAACAAATACACCTAGCAAAGAAACAAAAGGGAAAAAAATAACATGGTCAGACAGAGCATCTATCCAAAACACCTCAGGCTTTCAACTCTGAGGTAAGAACATACACATTCAAGCAGGAGACCAGATCCAGCACAACGTGACACAGGAACATGGTTTCCATTCAAACAGTACTGAGGCACACAGAGAAGGGTAACAGGGCAACTGTGCCGCTCTGTAATGACCCCATAATACTTTCCCAAGGACGGCTTGCTTGTCTCTGGTCTCTTGGCCAACTGCTTAAGCTCATGGAGACATTCTACATAGTGACGCTTTGTGCAAGTTCATGCTTCTTGTCCGAAACTGCTGTCGAAGGGTAGTGTTCGACAGCTGCTGGGTTGCGCTCCAAGAACTGCTGCAGTGATGGACCCATTAACAGATGTAAAGTTGGTCATGCACTTCGGGAGAAAAGGGCCATTATAAGTGTCGGTTACATTATACTGCACAATCAGATCCATGGGCAGGTGGCAGAGAGATCATGTCGGGTCAGATTTGTGTCATTCTAATCCTCCTTCCAGTGTCGACCACAATATGAATATTTTCGCATTTGATCAGGCTTTAAAGTTCCATCATCAAAATTATTTCTTCTCTTTAGAAAAAGTATATGCTGTGTGTTTACAGGAAAGTCTGATCGAAGGAGAAGCTGAATGAAAGAAGATTTAAACCCACAAAGCCAAATGGAACAATGGACCCAGAATAAAATTTCGAAGCTACGTTAAAATCCATTCCTCTTCAAAAGGCCTTTGCTTAGATTGCATTATGCGAATAAAGACTGTGAAGCTGCATTTAAATAGAAGATAATTGTTGTGTAGAGCACTAGCTTATACGTAAAAGAGAACACATTCCAGTCCAGTGGCAGCGACTCAGCAGCACAGGGTCAGCTTTGTGCCCTGCAATGAGAACTTGGATGTGACAGCTTTTGTTCCACATGTCCAGGCCATGCCTGGACAAAGGCACTGTCTGATCTCACTAGTCTCTGGATAAAACAGGAATACAACTTTGTTAAAAATCAAGAATAAACTTACTGTTGGAATGTAACTCCACTTGCACTTCGGTAGTCCATGTATGAAAGACTTTTATATGTTCTTTTTTCACTGGTTCACTCATAAAAACTACATTTATTTTAAAAAGGTATTTACAAACTTTACAACAGTTAATACATTTTAAAAAACATGAAAATTTATACACCTTGCTTTACAGAGTTAGTGAATCGTATGTCATTTACCCAGAGAGATGCAGACTCCCTTTCCAAAGCTTAGCTCCTACTCTTTCTTCAGAGCCAGTTTAAAAAAAGCTGTATTTTTTGCTGATTCAAGTGCAGAGGACTAGAAGAGAAAAGAAAGACGGTATTTGCAGTGTGCAGAGGTGGGTTTTGTAACTAAACCATCGCATCCAGGATCTCAAAACACTCACAAAAACATGTTACACAACATCCACATTCTCCTGAATTCAAGACAAACATGTCGCAAGGTTTATCGCTGAACCTTTATAATACCAACAATGAAAAAGTACATCAATTAATACCATGCATAATGCATATTGGGGCTGCGTTTCAGAGCTGCTGAGGACTTACACCTCTGTTTAAAAAAACCCACAAAAACTGCAGACCATGCATGTGAAAAGCAGGTTCAAAGTATGCAGTCATGCACGTCCAGGGATTTCAATGACAGCCTTCAATCAGGACAGTCAGACCAATGCAGCACAAACAGACGCTTTTCCCCTTTCGTTAAGCTCCCCCATACTCCTTTGTGTACCCTCTCTAGCGCCCAGTCCTAAAGGTGCTTTAAAGTTAATGGGAGCAGAATTAGGTGAACCTCACGTGCTTTTGAAAAGCCCTTCTCCTGCCGTGCAATCAATGAAATCACATTATTTGTTTGCTTTTCCTTTCTGATGTAGTCCTAGGAAAAGCTCACCCTGGTCCGCCAGATAATTTGAGCTGCAACAGCAAATATAAGACAGAAAAGTTTTTAATTAAAAGAAAAATATTGGAAGAAGGTAGCAGTAATGGGTGAGGAATGTTTTCACTATAAAAAGAGATTACTGTTAAATTACAGACATCTTAAACTTATTATTTCCATTTACAATTATAAAAATAAATAAGGAGAGAAAAATCTGAGCCATTATCTCTACAAGTCTAACTCACTGTTAATCTGTGGAACATACACTGGGCTGCACAGTGTGAAGGTTATTAGATGCAGGTTCTCAAAACCCACTGCATATACATTACGGTATCTTCTGCCACTGCAGATCACAGAGCTGCTCTCTCTGGAATCGGTGTCCTTTCCTAATCCAATAATCCACTGAAATGGAAAGCTGTGTTTCTCTCTTCCCCTGATGTGGATTAGAGCCTGTAACATTTTTAAAGGAATTTATCACAGCATGACAAATTTTAATTAAAAGCTCCAGAAAACAAGTGTTGAGCATATTTCTCCAAAGGAAAAAAATCCTCTAAGACTTGAAATTTAACAGTAGCTTTGAACAGCGTGGCTATGAAATGAGATTAGATTTTGTCTTCTCTGCAGACTGGATATTTAACTTTGAGATTTGTTTTATTCAAAAACTACGAGTTGGGTAGAAATGCTTCTGTTTGCTTTCATTTCTGGTATGCAGAGATGACATCATTATGGACTGTTCTACTCCTATTTTTAGCCCTCCAGTTTAAAAGACATTAGATGACATTTCCTAAAACATCTAATTAACATGGAAAGATGATTCTCGTTTTGAAAACTAAGTAGTGAGACCTTACCTTGCCTCTGAAAACTAAACCTCAGAACTTAAGTCAGGTAGGTACCGTGGCAAAGAGCAGAACACTTAAAAAAATCAGGGGTCTGGTGGGACTTCTTGTAAGAGTGTGGGCACTTAATTAAAATCAGTCAGGCCCCATCCTTATTCACACACTTAACTGCCCAACTGCCTTTAAAAATCTGACACTTAGAAGACAATGTTTTTTTCTAAAACTGGCACGAAGCCCTAAATCATTCAGGCACAGTACAGAAATTCCATCTTGTACCTCTATGCAAACTATGCTGACTTATATCAGCCAAGAACATCACTCTTCACACACCACAGTCAGGAACATTTAAGAAGACTGAACACCTATTTGTGAGTTAGTTTGCCAAAAGGCAAGAAGAAGTGGCAGGAGTTTACAGCACTTCAGACTCTAGAACAGAAATAACGCTAAGAAAGAAGGCAGCCCCCAGCGTTAAACCCCTTTACGGCATAGCAAACTTGCCAAGGAAAATGCCCAAAATATCTCAGGAAGGGAAATCTCCTCGCTCTGTACTCTTTAGGCATCAGCTGTTCCTTTCCTTCCCGCTAGGCTGATGCCTCAGATACAACAGTCTCCAACTGGCCAGAGCACAAAGGCAGCAAGAAGAAAAGCCGGAGCTGGCTGGCCAGCCCACCAGGATGAACCTTAAGAAACCTGCCAGGTGAGACAGCGCACTTGCGAGGCAGAGCACCAGGAAGAGAAGACCTTCACTGCTTCGTAAGGAATTGGCTCTACAGCAAAAGCCAAAGATCAAAATACAAATGACAGGCCTGTTCCAGCCACCACTCGAATCACACAAAGCACTGAAGCTTCCGAGGCTTCGGCCAGCACTGGGATGGGTGACAGCCACCACCCTGCTTGCTCCCCTGACGCTTTAGGTGACTTGGGCATCTTGCTAGCGCAGGTGTTACACCTAGGACCAGCACACAGGAGGGACAGTGACTGTTCTTATTCCTAAGGGCTGGCAGCTGCATGATCCACGGAAGGAAAGGAGGGAAGATGATAATTAACCACTTACGTGCTACGTACTCATAAACCTGGTCTACAAAACCACAGAAAAAGCAGTCAGAACCAAGTCTCCTCAAACTAAAGAGCACTATGTAAAGGGTCATTAAAGATCAGCTGAAAAATTCTTCCCAAGGTCAGACTTCTTCCTGTGAGGTTTTCTGCACTGACTCGTTCCCTCCTCCAGGAAAAAACCCTGCTGAATGTACAAGACACATCTATGAGCTGAAGTTATTAAAGCAGATGAAACAGGTAGGGAAGTAAGTCTCAAGAGAGTCACTTGGAACCGAAATACCCAAGTTTGTTTACCCATGACAGACAAACCACTGGCTGGGATTCCACCAAGTCTCCTTTGTTTCTGCCGACTTACCAAAGGAATAAAAGGCAAACCCGCTCTGAAAAGGGAACGGACCTACGAATGAGGTAACAGGCAGATGTTGAACGGGGAAGGGTGCGGTGTTAACAATAAGGTGGTGTTAATATGTACTCTTCTACAGCTCAGACCACATCCTGCTGTTCTGCCTAAAGCAAAATTCTCACCGAAGACAAAAAGTTCTTGTTCAAGTGAAGAGTTCCAGAGGGTCCTCTAGGTCACGTGTGCAGCAGAAGCAAGACAGTGGTTACAAGATGAGGAAGAAGTGGACAAAAAATAAAAGACAAGAAAACCCTGTGGTTTTCAAGTCAAGCAGCATCGATGTCCAAGAACACAATGCGGAGCTGACAAGTCCTACAATGCACCAGAGAGAGGGGGTGAACCATGGTCAAGTTGTCCAGAAAGGTTTCAAAGATTTCCCCGGAGAAGGCAACAGCCCAGAAGACAGTCGTACGTGCGCTACAGCAAACACGACTGCGGATGTCTGTGATGTGACTGCAGTGCAACTTCCGAAATGTCTCCAACCTGTTTCGTGACGTGAATCCAATATGACCCTTTGATGGAAGCAATCTGTTCTACAGAGCCATGCAGGCAGCAAATGCAGCTCCCGCAGGTTTCTGTAACTGGAGTCACACTGAAGCCAAAGGAATGTGTAAGAACAAAAGAAAGGAACTACACTCTGAACAAAACAACCCTAGGGTTTCATCGGTTTTGTTTGCCCCTGAAAAAGGCTTTGCTGAGGAAAGCTTTCATTAGGTTTAACAAACTTCAATTTTTCAGTAAGGTAATAAAACCCATTTATGTCATTTGGGCAGAATAACGGTGCAGTGGCCTGTAAAAAACCCCGATCCAATAGTATTTGTATTTACTCCTGTCAGCATCATCCTCAGCAGGGTTTTTAGTGGGTCTCCCCAACTTCTACCAGATAATCAGAAGCTAAATGACAGTTACAGTTAACAAGCAAAATTATGTCCTGGAAGAGAGAGCCCATGACAGAATCTTCATCAACACCGACGATAAACAAACAGGCCACAAGCAGCAACCAAACAGCCGAAGTTTTGTATAGGTTCAGAAATAAACTTGGATCCAAATTCCTCTGTTGGTCCCTCTTTATGATGAGTTTTAAATAACTTTGAACTTCCCAGAAAGCTTGAATCTCAATTTGGCAGGCAAACTCCCATACTTCTCGAGTTCCATAGTGAAAGGGAACAACAACGACAAGTGATTATTATTTTTTTTTTTCTCCTTTCCTGGGAAAACATCAGTGAAAACTAACAGCCACGACAAAAGCCATGTTTATAAATAGGCCAGTAGTCACACAGGCAGAATAGCATGGCAAACTATTCTGCCTGAATGTGACAAGAGAATAATTCTTACAAATCAAGAAACCCCCGAACTTCACTGGCTTTTCTGCTGCTGGGAAACACGGCACCAAAGGCAGCTGCAGCTTCGGCAGGAGGTGAGGGGGGAATAGATCAAGAAAGTTTCAATTACGTAGCGTGA